CGATACATTAGTTGTCTTTTCTTTTTCAAAATTTCCTCGTTTTTGACCAAAGTAGTGGCAAACCAAATCACTTTGCGAACTTTAGCTCACTGTCTGATCCTTTTTCCAATCTCCCCACAAGCCTCACGAAGAAAAGGTAAGCTTAAACAAATCTAGTTTACTATTGCTTTGTACTGTGTTATGCTATCTTGGCTTTGCTTTTTGTAGACATTGTTTTGTAGCTTGTTAATCTTCACTTTCTTGAATCGTGGGATTTTTTCATTTATTTGTTGATTGTGCTTCTCTGTGCAGTGAAAGCTAGGGTTGCAGTCCCCTCTATTTTATCTATTTCTCTTACTACACTACCAATCGCTATTCTTTTGTTGATTCTTTCATCGTGTCGTGTATGAGGTTTTGTTCGGTTGTTTGAGCACCGACCATTTGGTTTGCTTTGTTAAAGCCTGAAACTTTCCTTCTATTTCGTATCTAACGTCTTCCTCACATGCTAAGCTAAGTAAGCCCTAATCTGGTTGATGTGCCTTAGGAGCTTAGAGCTGCCATTTTGACCAATTGTTCTGATTTCTCGATTTTTGACTTTTTTCCGTCGTCTGAAGGGTTTGAATCCGGCTGAAGGGCGGGCCATGTTGTGAGAAATGAGGTTTTGGGCTGTCGAAAATGGGGTGTGTTTTTGGGAAAGAGGTTCAGTCAAACGGCCCACCTGGCAGTGAATATGTTGTCGGTGAGAGAGAAAGTAAGGGTGGCGAGAGAAACTTGTCGGTCCCGTCCGGGAGGAAAGAGAGGGAGGTGTTTAGCTCCATAAGTAAATCTGATGCTGAGAGTAATGCCGGTGTCCGTGAAGCTCAAAATGGTGGGGAAGAGAAAAATGAAGAACCCAAGGATGAGGGCCCACGAAGACCAAGGGGAGAAAGGCGGAGGTCGAGGCCAAATCCGAGACTGAGCAATCCACCTAAGCATATTCATGGCGAGCAAGTGGCTGCCGGGTGGCCATCTTGGCTCTCGGCTGTTGCGGGTGAGGCCATCAATGGGTGGACACCTCGTCGGGCGGACTCATTCGAAAAAATAGATAAGGCATGAAGTTATCCGCTTACTTATTTATTGTATTCGTTCATGTTGGTTTGTGTTCTGACTATATTTCCATCCCATTTTTTTTTATTGTTTGCGGTTGTGTTTAGATTGGACAAGGTACTTATAGTAATGTGTACAAAGCTAGAGATGCCATTACGGGAAAGATTGTTGCGCTGAAGAAGGTTAGGTTCGACAACTTGGAGCCCGAGAGCGTGAGGTTTATGGCTAGGGAGATATTGATTTTGCGCCGTTTGGATCATCCGAATGTTGTGAAGCTGCAAGGACTTGTGACGTCTAGGATGTCGTGTAGCTTGTACCTTGTGTTTGATTACATGGAGCATGATTTGGCTGGGCTTGCCTCCAGCCCGAGTGTCAAGTTTACGGAGCCACAGGTGGGATCCCTCTCTCTCTCTCTCTCTCTCTCTCTTTCTCTCTATTTCTTTATCGGTGTGTATCTTCGTTTTTGTTTCAAACTTTTTGCCTGTGCGATCTGTTTTTTTTTCTTAACATTTTTTTTTGGCAATTATCTGATTGGTGTGATAGGTGAAATGCTACATGCATCAGCTTTTGTCGGGACTTGAGCACTGCCACAATCGCCATGTGTTGCATCGTGACATTAAGGGTTCTAACCTTCTTATTGATGATGGTGGAATTCTTAAGATTGCCGATTTTGGGTTGGCATCGACCTTTGACCCTAATAACAAGCAGCCAATGACGAGTCGTGTGGTCACCCTTTGGTACAGGCCACCAGAGCTGCTTCTTGGTGCCACCGAGTATGGTGTGGGTATAGACTTGTGGAGTGCTGGGTGCATTTTGGCCGAGCTATTTGCTGGGAAGCCCATCATGACAGGGAGGACAGAAGTAAGTGTTTGTAGTATTTATATTCAAATGCATCATGATCAACTACTATCTCATACTATGTCGACATGCTATATTTCATTGTGCTTTCGATACCTTTTCTTATGATAACCTTAGTTAATGACTTCTCATGACCTCTGAAAACTATTTTGCCTTTTGTATATATATAGGAACTTTCTGAAAGCTGGAAACAATATGTTTGTGTACGTACGAGCGCTTGATTGATTTAGTGACTTTGTCTTCTTTTTAATGAGCGAGAAGTAGCTTTTCTTTCATGGAAGTATGAGTGATATTGCTGTGTACACTTAGTTCTTTAAACGGAGATGTGAAAAGGTGTTTTTGGTGTTAGTTTGCATATGTATTCTAAAATATAAGGGTAAAAGAAATAAGAAAGATGTGATAAAACAATCTGCACTGAGGTGTGAAAAAACATTATCCTGGACAATTTGTTCTGTCCTAAACTCCTAATCAATAACTGGGTGGAATAGCTTGCCTAGCAGCCTATCCTTTTGTTCTCATGGAACTTCACTAAAATAGAACGGGTTTGACTAGCTTGCATGCTTATGTTGATGGTTTATTCCTACAATTTATTTGTGTGACCTTTGAAGTTGTGTTAGCATAAGTTTCTTCTGCTAGGTTTATAGTTCAATTCAATGCTGTAAGTGTTGCTTAGGTGGAACAGCTGCACAGAATTTTTAAGCTCTGTGGTTCTCCATCAGATGAATATTGGAAAAAGTCAAAACTCCCTCATGCAACTATATTCAAACCCCAACACTCATATAAAAGATGCATAAGGGAAACGTTTAAAGAATTTCCGGCGTCAGCATTGCCTCTGATCGATACTCTACTTGCAATTGATCCGAGTGAGCGACTGAGTGCTACAAGTGCCCTGAACAGTGAAGTAAGCTCTCTTTCGCCTGCTCCCAGGTCTCCTTTTGAATCACTCTCCAGTTGCATTGTGCTTGTATGTGTAAATGTGATCTGCTTACCCTTTTTTGTTGTCCTGGAATCTGATCTGATGCAATACCTTTGTTTTTAAATTTCCTTAAATGTAATTTAACAAAAGTAATGGCCTATTCTTCATTTTTTTTTTTTT